GGGGGGGGGGGGGTGACGTTTTTGAAGGGGTCGGCCCGGGCCCTCAGTAACCCTGGCCGCCGGCATCGGGAGAAGAAGTCTGAGGTGGGCCCGCCTAGAACAGCAGGCGGAGGCGGGCTCAGTCATAGTATTGAGGCGGGCCTGTTGATTTTGAGGCAGGCTTGAACTGGGGCGAGCGCCACTCCTCTCCCGCCATGCCCTTAGGGCGGAGCCTCCGAGTGCGGCATGACAGGCCTTATGAACTAGCCAGTATGGCAGAACCAAGAACATGAATGCCGATCTATAGCTCTCTGTGCGATCTTGACATCTTTACATAGACACCCTGCATCTTGCAAGCATGTCAAAGAGGCAGAAAAGCCTGCTGTGCCTCGTACTTGCATGCGGATTAAGTCTATGCGAAGAGCGTGTCTTTGCAGCAACGACAATAGAAAAATCAAGTTTGAGTCTGCAAAGAGCTCGAATAGGGAATTCCAATAAGAGAGTGTTTCCCGTTTGCAACGACTCAATGGTGCCCTCCGTCTATAGGCGACTTTCATGCCACACATTTGATCAGATTGAATTTCGTAAAAAGGCACTTGAACAGCTTTTTCAATCCTTGTATCTTGCTCCCGAAGACAGAGCTAGAATGGCGAATCTTGAGCAGGGCAGTGAGGAATGGCTGGAGGCGAGAAGGAACAGATTGACTGGATCAAACTTTGGAGCAGCAGTGGGGCATAACAAGTTCAAGTCCCCTCTACAACTGGCGCATGAGATGCTCTACGGAACTTTCGAAGGTAATGAAGCGACGAGATGGGGAAACGCGCACGAGCAAGTTGCGTGCCACGAGTACATCCTAGCAAAGAAACAACTCTTGTGTACCGGGGGAAATGAGGACGACGTGGATTTTTCTGTGAGCCACTCGGGGCTAAATCCCCATGAGACAAAGCATTGGCTTGCCGTCAGTCCTGATGGTCATGTGCGAGAGAACGGCGTCACGGCTATCCTGGAGATCAAATGCCCGTTCAAAAGAAAGCTGTATCCTGAGATCCCCTCTTACTACATGGATCAAATACAGGGCATAATGGGAGTTCTGTCGGTGCCCTGGACAGATTTCTGTGTTTGGACTCCAGACGAGTTCTCAATTCAGCGTGTCGCCTTCAACAAGGAATACTGGGAATCGCAACTGTATCCTGGACTAGAACGGTTCTATCACGAGGTATTCATCCCTGCATACTTAGATCGAGAAGAATCAAGAGTGATGGGTGATGAAAGCATCCCGCCTTATCCAAGTTAGGCATTTATTGTTATTCTTTTGAAAACAACAAGAGCATGGTTTTCGTCATTTGAACGAATTCGTTTGTGCGATGCAAATGCTTGGCTCAAATCGAGCGATGCATCAATCCTTTGAGTTTCTTGTTTTCCTCCACAAGTGCGGCCTCTTTCGTTTTCGCCGTCTTCAATTGAAGTTCACGTTCACAGATTAGATTGCCCAGAAATGCAAGCTCTAAAACACCACACACACACACATACACCAAAGAAAAAGACAAGAAATTAGTATCGTCGCCGCAAAGTTTGACGAGAGAACCTGCTAAGTTATTGTCGCATTCTTCTCTCTTGCTTCAAAGGCATAATATGATGTCAATGTCAGCCAAAAAGCCAAAGAGCGAACAGCATGTTTTTACCCTTGAACGATTTCATTCCTGTCAAAAGTCAGCCAATCCAGTTTTGCTTCTTCTTTCTTGATGACGTTCTCGAGGTTCTTGATTTCGCCTTCAACAGTACATAGTGACACTGCAAGGTCAGAGTTTTCTAAGAGAAGAGCGTTGATTCTGGAGCTAATTTGCGAATGAACTTTCTTGAGACTCTCGGCATCATGGAGAAGGCACTCAACCTCGAACAATTCTTTCCTGGCATCCTTTAATCCATCATCACTCATTCTTAAAATTCCAGTTAAGATTGTTACCAGCATATCCTGGGTATAGTAGGAATCCGGTAAAGAAAGCAAGGAATCCTTGTATTTACCAAATTCTGCTCTTTGGACCATAAAACTCAACCCCAAATAATCCTACAACTGTAACTGATACCTTCTTTTAGCATCTTCTACAGACAATTGATTCGCTATTTGCTCTAAATGTTTCAGCCGAGATTTCATGGTTTCCAACTTTCGGGCCTGCACGCAGGAGTCGTGGTCAACAGTGACGCACGAAACCTCGCTGTCGGCAAGTTGTTTCAAATCAGAACTTTGTATATTGTCCAAGACATCAAATTCTTTGGAGCAAGCTCGTTGCTTGTCTCTGAGTTCTCCACCTTTCGCGATGAGCTCCCTTAGTCTGCCATGCAGCGCTCGTAAGTGATCTTGTGCTGCCGTCACTGCCTGCATGGCACAAATTCCCGACTACCCGCCAAAAAAATCCACAAACTTCACGGATGGTCCTTTTTTTACTCAAAGTTAAGTTAAAAATCAGTACGAGGAAAATATGGTTTTCCCGGTCGTCGGAGTTACTGGCGGGCCCGGCGCGTCCAAAGTTGCCAGTTTTCCCCCGAAGCTGCCGAGACACCCCTGTAGCACACATAAAGATGCCTACCCATCTTCTTTCAGATAAAACTACCGGTAGTGGCAGGAACTCCTCGCCTCCAGTTTAAAATTAGTTTTTATGTAAAAACATTTGTGCAACCGTCCCTCCTTCAGTACCCGGTGCTTAAAGACCCCCACCCTTATTTTCTGGCTTGTTCACCCACCTTCTGCAGTACAATCTCCAGAACGCTGTGAGACCACCATGTCGTTCCTAATGTTTTTCAAAGCAAGTACAGATCGCCCCCATTCCTACGCCCCAGACGCACCCTTACCCCCCACCACTCTGTGAATCCTTCACCCTACTCTTAGTGTACCCACCCCTACACAGCCTTCTCAAGGACATCCTGGTGAATACCTCACCCCCTACTGGAGGAGTTTCTTCACGCGGTCCCCCTCTGTGCATACCACCCACAGGAAGAAGTGTCACTACGAAGGTACCCCACCCACCTCAACTCAAGGTTCTCTTCAAATACCCCCTTTTTACCATAGAGTTTGATCTGAAAATGTCCCCTTGAAGAGTCTACTACCCATGTCAAACCGTTCAAGAATTCGAGCAAAGGGATCAGAAAGGAGCACTACCCGTCCGATACCAATTTGACCACTTCCAGCATCACACCCCACCCCATTCATTCCACCTTCCCAATCCCAACACTTTGAGTACCCTACCCCTCTTGCAATACACCCCCTCTTGTTGGCATGAGACCCCTGCAGCCACACTGCCGCTTCCTTGTAAGATGACCCACCATCAGTTTCAGGAACGACATGACATCCCAGTACCGTACATTTCCCCATCGATCACCCCTTGCTCCAAGTGCACCCCACCACATGATGATCTTCGGAGGTATCTACAATTCCATCACCCTATTTTCTCACTCCAAACGAGGGGTGTTCATCCCCCATGCTTTTACTACACACTGTCTAATCTTGGAATACGACCCGGGTGGGGTGGAATCGCCCTACCCTACCACTCCATGGCATTAGCTATGACCCACCCCTCAAAGTCAACTTCTTTGAAGGGTATACACCCCCTCAAACGTGTTAAATGAACACGTACCTGCTATACCCCACCCACACGTATCCTTAAGCCCAAACTACCAATAGGACTGTAGCCCAAAGGACCCCTGGGTCCAATGTCCTCTAAATTTGTCCTATTCATCGTAAGACCCTCATAGGACCATCCTACATGTTCCTCCTTGTTGGCGGATTCTGCATCCCATATCACCCCCATTCTACCACCCACCCCATGAGCATGCCCTAAGACCCACCCTATCTGTTCGAGCTACCCCAAGAAGTGAGGACAGCTCATCGTCACTGGTGTTCCGCGATGAACCCTGAACGCATGGGATACTGGATGGTTCTTGAGGCCGGGGTATTCACACAGTGCGGTAGTAAGCATGGTGGTGGGGTACATTTTAGGATAGGTGAGGGTCAAAGGAGCACCCCTGAAACACACGATAGATGCTATCTTCAGACCGGTAGTGGTACATCCAGGAGGGGTTACCCAGCTAAATAGTGGGTCAGTCGGGGGTGATGAGCCAGGCTCCGGGGAGGGGATGGGGTGGGGTATATTTTTCCATGGTAAAGTAGAGGGGTAAAGACCCTACCCCTGGAGATGATCTTCTCACCCTCGGATCACGTGGGGTTACCCTCCCTCCCCTCCACCCCTCCCCTGCTTCTCCTTTTTACTCCACCCTAAATACTTTTATAGTACCCACCCTTGCGTGTCTCAAGGTAACCCACCTCACATGGTACATCTTTACCCCCCAATATCAAATTACCCACCCCTGTTTCTCCCACCACCCTACCCCTTTTTCTGTACGCCAACTGAGGTGGCTCGAGTGTCTCGGCCTCCTCGTTGCATCCGTCCCGCCCCCATTCCCTTCCACCAGCACCCTCCCTCGTCATCCTCCACTGACCGCTGTTGCGATCGCTCCTTGTGCCCTCTTCACTCTCCTCTCCTTCCAAATTAGTGGTAGGAGTGCACCATGGGTTCTTCTGAATTGAGGGAGGGGAATTCTATGTTCACGCAGCTCCACATGTGTAAGCACGCGATGTGACCCACCATATCATGCTCGTGCAGGTTCAACCTTGTACCCGTAGACATCCCAGCATCTTTTAGCTATTGAAACGAGTACTTCTGTACATCACCTTGCAAAAGCAAGGCCACGTGATGAATTTGATCCGGCTTTCTTGCCTTTTCTTGCCCTTTCATTTCCTTGTGTCTCACCTCCATTGTGAGAATTTGCAAGGGCCATGACTCAGCTTCCGATCGCCTTGTATGATTGAAAGCCGTGTTTCATGAATCTCTTTAGTGCTTGTTTGTTTCCCTTGAAATGCTTTCCATGGATCATGCTGACCACTTCACAGGCAAGTGCCCCTTCTGTTCTGCTGGTCAATCGACAAGATTTTTCCACCATCCATGGCTTCCCTACAAAGTCATATCCCCATCACTCTCCCACCGATCCTCACATCATCGCTGCTCAATTTCAAGGCCGAGATGCCACAGCATTTCAAGCTTCCCCACTTGAATTCTCCACTTCAGGGGACCCTCGGATGTCTGGCCCCTATCAAGACACAACCTTTCGCGCCATCCCAAGAGGTACTGCCGCACATGTCTACAGCCGAGAAGACTGTCGACATCACGACATCGAATGGAGGGAGCAACAACGATGATATCATTACTCTCTTCCCAAGGAGGAAGGCAGGGCAATCTCGCCCAGGGGGAGGCAGGGGTCCGGTTGTTCTCACCCTTGATCTGCTTGAGAAGTTCTACGGCATGCCCCTGCATGTCGCTGCCAAACGGCTGGTGAGGAACATTTGAACTGCGGAGAGATCGATTGCTGAGTTGTTCTGCAGGGAATCTGTCAGACAGCGATCAAGAAAGTCTGTCGAAAGTTGGGGATCATGAAATGGCCGTACAAGGAGATGCGGACGCCGATGCCAGTGATGAGCACTTCGACTTTTGAGGCAGCAGAGAGCAGCGATCATGGCAGTGATGGTACAACTGAGATGAGCTACTCCGGTCATACATCATCTTCAAATGAGGGAAGCGCAAGCCCTGCCAGTGGAGATACGGAATTGAAGGATGCGGTGTCTGCGCTCCTGAGCTTACATTCCAATTAGTGAAGCACGGTGAAAACCTGCGTCTGCAAAGGCCAGGTTTGTGACATTTGGATCAGCTGGCAACGATGTAAATAAGAAAGGGCATACGGCTCACTCTCCCATTGTTTATTTTTAGTGTGTTTATATTCTCCCTGGAGCGCCGCGGCAGCGGCAAGGAATTCAATCGCAGCCCGGGGCAACTTGTGCGACAGTTTATGACTTTCCATCTATTTTGTCATATAATACAGCATTTAATCATTACCGCATGCAAATTACGGCCGCGCAGAGTCACGGCGGAGTTGAACCGTCGCACTCCGTTTACTATTCGATATGGCATCAGTGATCTGTGCCGCTGCCGCCGGGCCATCGTGACTCAGTGTAGAGCGTCGGGTCGGGTTAACTGCTTTCACGGTCTCAGGCCTGGCAGTGGGCTGTCACGCGGCTGTACGACCAGGCTGATGCCAGGCGGTGATGCCACCGGCAGTGGCCCGGCGTGCGGCCCGGCGCGCCGCCGCGGCCGGACGTGACTGTCGGAGGCCGGTACCGTACGGTGACGGAGCGGCTGGCTTCAGTAACCGGGGGCGCGGGCCCACCGGGTCGTGACGGCCGGTGCCGCCGGCGGCCCGGCAGTCACACCGGGCGGCACCCCGGCGGGCGTCGCCGTTCACTGTAACTGAGGTCAGCACGGTCACCCGAATCGGAGTCCGAGACCCGGGAACTGGACAAGGAAAACCGTTCGGTTGGTAACGGAAAAAAGCCGTTGACAATGCCGGCGGGAGGAGCGGGTGGTGCTGGTGGAGGAGGAGGAGCAGGGGCAGGAGGAGGAAAGAAGATCTTCATCTACCAGTTAGATAGCTACCTTGGACAGGTTCTGGGTCAGCATGCCAAGAAGCATGCAGCAGAAGGGGATGAGCGGATCCTGTGCGGATGTCTCACCAACCCTAGAAGCTCCGTGAGCTGGGCTGATAGCATCATCGATAAGAATGACCCATCAGCGCTGAAGAAGGCACTTCTCTCATCAGACATCATCGTCTACGACATCTCCAGTGATCCACAAGAAGCTACAACAGCGCTCAAGATCCTCCTCAAGTATGATTATGCAGAGAACCCTGAGGACGAGACGGAGAAGGTTTTGATTGGAGTGTCGAACTTGCTGAGTTGGGCAGGGAACAGCGTGAAGATCCCAGCAGCTGATGACGAGGCTGCTATGAGTGCGTATGCAGAGAAGATGTCACATGCTCTGACGGCAGAGGACCATATGGACAGACGCCCGCACCCCAACTACAAGGCGCAGGTAGCGGTTGAGAACTTGATCATTAACAAGGGCAACATCAAGAAGGACAAGCTCAAGACCTACGTCGTCTGGTCGGGAGTGCAGTATGGGTGCGGGGAGAGCGTCTTCCACTCTCTGTTCAAGTGGGCCTGGCTGGGCACTCACATGGCTCTGCCCATCATCCAACCTGGCTCGAACAAGATCCCCATGATCCACGTTGCGGATCTTGCTGGGATGGTGCTGGAAGTGGCCCTGACCTGTCCGACGGACCTTCCCAACAACTCCCTGCTCGCTGTTGACAAGGCAGAGTGCACGTTGAAGGAGGTGGCGGCCGCCATTTCCTCGGCCCTGCAGTTCGGGGACGTAAAGGAGTGCGATCAGGAGGAGTATCTGGAGCTGATGACGCAGGAGAAGGAGCCGCACATCAACTCGGTCTTCCTTGAGCTGAACATGTCCATGACCTTCAAGCACGGTGAAGTCATCGGGTACGGCGAGGAGAGCAGCTCGTGGGTGGCTGGGACCGGTTTTGTCGCAAACATCGAAAGGGTGGTCAATGAATACCGGGAGTGGCGGATGCTGCAGCCTGTTCGGGTGCTCTTCTACGGCCCTCCTACCTCAGTCTGGTACCCAACGGAGGAGGGAAAGCTGTTCCTTGCCCGGGATTTCGCACAAGAGTACAACGTGACCCTGATCGACACCAAGGAGCTCGTGAAGGAGTACAGGAACAAGCCCTCGTACGAGGAGGACCCGAAGCTAGGGACGAACCTCTCGGTCAAGCTCAAGGAGATCGAGGAGGATGGGGAGGTCCCGTTGGAGCTGATCGTGGAGGCCGTGCAGAGGAAGCTTGCGACCCCCGCATGCCGCAACCAGGGGTACGTGCTCGAGAACTTCCCGGACTCCAAGGAGGCGCTTGAGATGCTGTTTGATGTGGACAAGGTGCGTGTGCGTACCCATGGCTGTGAGAGGCTCCTGCTGACTTCGACCCCTCCTCCTTCCTGCTTACTTCGACCCCTCCTCCTTCCTGCACACTTCGACTCCTCCTCCTTCCTGCTGACTTCGACTCCTCCTCCTTCCTGCTGACTTTGACTCCTCCTCCTTCGTGCTGACTTCGACTCCTCCTCCTACAGGTGGAGCCGGAGGGCGAGGGGGTGGCAGAGAACGAGGGCGGAGAGCCTGCTGCGGGGGAGGAGCCCCGAGCGCCGCTCGCTCCTCTCCCTCAGACTGTCTTCCACCTAGTGGCTGAGGAAGAATTCATCCTCAAGAGAATCTCTGAGTTGCCGCAGGAACAGGTTTGAAGGATTTCATATTCTCTCCTCCTCGTGTTCCTGCTCTTCCTCCTCCGATCCTCCTGCTTCTCCCCTTCATATGGGCATCCTCCTCATTTCTTCGTCTTCCTCAAACTCAACCAATTCCTTTTGCGCCTGACGCGGTCGCAGGCGGAGGCCGAGGGGGAGACGGAGGAGAAGGTCTTGGAGGGGCTGAAGGCGTTTAAGGAAGCGAACCTAGTCGACGAGGAAGGAGTACAGCAGGGATGTTTGGGAGTCTACAAGAGCAACAGGAACAAGGTCAGCTCCTCCTGCCCTGGCTGCGCATCCTTGACAGCCCCCAGGGATGCCAGCAAGTCGTCGACATAGTCTGCGATAATCCGCTGCAGTTCATCCAAGATAAGGTGCGGTGGAGGAGCGAGTAGGAAGCGGGAGAGTACGAGGAGGGAGGGAGGGAGGGAGGGAGGGAGGGAGGGAGGGAAGGCAAGCTGCTGATGAAAGTGGACAGATTAGGTTGTCTATCGGGAATCCGAGGAATTATGATCCGGAGGGACCCAAGAGGAAGGTGAGGGCACGTGGTGGAATCCGATGCTCACTGACCCGACGTAGAGAGAGGAGGAGAGGATGAGGGGAGAGCAAGCGAAGCAGGCGGAGGCGGAGGCGAAGAAAAAGGTCCTCGGGTCGAAGGAGGGAGTGCGGTGGCTGAAGAGACGACAGGAGGAGGAGGAAGCGAGCCGAACGGAGAGGGAGATGAAGAAGCAGAACGACGCCAGGAAGCTCGCAAGGCTCCAGGTCGGCATCGGAGGGAGGGGGGCAGAGGAGGACGGAGAGCGAGTGGAGGAGAGGGAAGGGGGAGAGAGAAGGAGGAGGGGAAGGATTGACAAGAGCGCAGGAGGAGGAGCGAGAAGCGCTCCACTTGAGGTCGCTGCCCATGAGGAAATATCTGATAGAGAATGTCCTGCCCACCCTCACAAGGGGCCTCCAAGAAGTTGCCAAGGTCTCCATCCCCTCTGTCTTCTTGTCTTGCCCTTCTCCGTTGATTTGCTTCCTCCTTCCTCCCCCTCCCCCACTCTCCCCTCTTCCTCCCCCTCCCCCTCCCCCTCCCCCTTCCCCTCTCCCTTTCCTTCTTGTTCCCTCCCCCTTCCCCTCCCCTTTTTTTTCCTCTTCCTCCCTCTCCATCTTTCATCTTTTCCCTCCTCCTCTTGCTCTTCGTGACATTAGAGCTCCGCAGGTCCGACCTGAAGATCCCATCGACTACCTTGCGGAATATCTCTTCAACGCGGATCCTCAGCAGAACTGATGAATGGGAAAGAGACGCGGCGGCGGCGGCAGCAGCAGTAGGAGAGGAGAGAAGCTCTTGTGATACACTTTTACTTCAACTTGACCCGGTCTTCTCCTCCGGCTGCTGTCATGACAACAATCGCACCAGCTCCTCGACGATCTGCCTCTCGTCCTCGCTCTCGCTGGATGAAAGACTTTCCAACCTGGGCAGCATCAAGAGGGTCAGTGAAAGACATCACCTGTATCTCCTCACCTCCTGTTCAACCTGGCCCTCCACTCTCCTTCCTCTACCCTGATCTGCTCGGCGCAACTTGTTGAGTCGCATTTCACCAGACTTCGCAGCGCTCGCCCCGCATACTCTGAAGGCAAAAGTGCTCGTCAGTTGCCTCCTCCTCTTCCATTCCCAACACCAAAATCATCCTCATCAGTAGAAATCCCCATCACCCGCCCTTCCCCTTCTCCCTCCTATTTTTCATACTCCTCCATCCCCCCCCCTCACCACCACCACCTTCACCTCCACCACTCCTCTTCCCGCCTTTCGATTCCCTTCCTGCTCCTGCATACCAATTTCTTCCGATTCGAGGAGAATGGCAAAGAGAAGCGGAGCAAATCTCTTGTCGACCGCCTGCTTGCATGCTTCTTTCGAACTCTCGAACAACCATTGAAGCACAAAGCATGCTCTCCCCTGCACAAATCATTTAAACATCTCCTCCTCCTCCTCCTCCACCATTCACCGCGTCCACAAGTAAGAAGAGTGGGAGTGTTTTAGGGGGGGTCTAAAAATTACTATTAAAGAGGCGGATATAGTGTTGCATTTTTTCTCTAGTAATTTTAAATTGTTT